CTCTTCCACCACCACCACCACCACCACCACCACCACCACCGTCCATGTCCACCCTGTCTGTCACCACCACAGCACTTCCCATTTCCTCCAGATGGAGCCCTACCCTGACCCACCCCCTTCTGACAACACTGCTGTGATGCCTGGGCATTCAGAGAGCTTGGGGTATCAGCTGTCTCTCTTCTTTTAATTTTTTCCCTTCTTCCTTTTCTGCTGTCTTTATCTTGTTCTCTGTCTGCTGGCTGCTGCTTGGTCAGTTGTGGGTATGTGTACAGTGGGGCATCTTCTCCTTGTCTTCTTCTTTTCCTGCTCTGGGACCCCTTCTTAAGATCTAACTCCCCATACCTTTCTCCCCTTCTCTGTCTCCATCTGGAGTTTGCTGCCTCTGAAAATGAATAACAATCCCCCTCCCTCACAGCCCTATAGCACTTTTGCTTAAAATACTTACTTTAACATCATTTATCTAAATGGAGCCCTATTTCCTTTACTTCTTCAACAAACATTTATTGATACCTACTCTGTGCAATCCCAGCCATCACTGACCACAGTGTGGCCTTGTGGAAGTACATAAGTAATATAGAACAATTTGATAAGTGTTATGGGGATGTTGAGGAGGGAGTGACTAACAGTGTGTACCTGGGGCAGAATGCTTCAAGAAAGAGATAACATTTGTGCTAACACCCTGTGTGCAGGTAAAGAACAACGAGTATTCTAGGCACAGGAAACATATGCAGAGGGTTGGCGGGTCAAGAGAATATGATCTTTGTGAGGCTAGAACACTGGGATGCTTTGGTGGGAAGAGGCCACAAATGAAGCTAGAATGATAAAGGTCTCTGAAAGACTGAGGGCTTTGGCCTTTAAGAGATAAGGAACTCTGGTGGATAGTGGATAAGGCATTTGGCTGCTAACCAGAAGGTCAGCAGTTCAAACCTACCAGCTGCTCTACAGAAGGAAGATGGGGCCATCTATTTCTGTAAAGATTTACAGCCTCGGAAACCCATGGGAGTCGACTTGATGGCAGTGAGTTTGGTTTGTTTTTTTTTTTTTTTAACAGATGGAGAGCTGAGAAAAGGTTTCTAAAAGGAAGTCAATTGGTCAGATTTGCATTTAAGAAATACTATTATAATGGCATTTATGAAGAAAGGGTTGGAAAAGGAGACTGCAGGAATTTGGAAGCCATTGCTAGCTGTTAAAAGTTGGGAGCATTGTCAGATCCATGCAGAGATACCTCAGAAGAAAGGCCTGGGATCTACTTTGGAAAACTCAGCCATTGAAACCCCTGTGGCACACAGTTCTACTCTGACACATAGGGTTGCCAGGAGTTGGGCTGACTCAGTGGCAACTGGTTTAACTGGCAGTAGACCAGTAGAGGAGGTAATGGGGTTTTAGGATAGAAAAGAGAGGATTAATTTGGAGGTTGGCTACAGGGGATGAAGGAGAGGGAGAAACAGGCTGTTGCCCCCCTTTCTAGCTTGAATGAATAAATGGATGTAGTATCCTTCAAGGACTAATGGAAAAGAAGAGAGGAAACAGGTTTGGCAGGGAAGATAAGTTTGCTTTTGGATAAGAAAGCTTATAGATAGGGTTGGCATTAAAATACTCATTTCGAGGGAAGGAAGTTAAGATTCTGAAAAGTTAAATAATTTCTCCCAAGTGCCACAACTAATTAGGAGCAGAACACAAACTAGAACTTGTCTTTCCATTTCAGGACACTCTGTTGGACAGTTTTGTGCTTCCAAAAAGTCTAAATAAGTGAATTGAAAAAGAAGTGGTGAAAGACTTTCCCCAGTGCAGGGACTTTCCCTGCTAATAGGTCCAGATGCTGGACTAGAGTCAGAAGTAGTAGCTTTGACCTTGCCTGGAACTAGCTTAGGGCACCCTCAGAAAGTCCTTCTTCCCAGGAAGGACCTTTCTTCTGTGAAGTTGGGCCGGGTTCAGTCCTGGCCTCTGGGCTGCAGCCTGCTTCCCCTGGTGCCTCCTTTTGGTCCTGTCTCACTCTGGATACCAGTCTCTCTAGCTCTGACCCTTGACCCTCTGGATAGTTATGCTTGAGGGCTGTTCCTTTCTCTTCCACAAAAGGACTGCCTTTACTAGGGTCATCACTCAGCGGAGCTTTTCATCTTCACGCTCATCCTCATTTTCATCCAAAAGCTTAGGTAGGGAGACTGCCTCTCCTAATATAGATGGAGAGGATTGAATTGGGTTGGGGGCACTAGGGCATGCTGTGAATCTCATGCCCCAGAACTAAGCTAAGGGCAGAGGGGAGGAGGGATGGGAAGGTGCCTGCATCTACCTGGCCTGTTCACTGCTTAATTTTTTTTTGCACCATGCACCAGAGGATCATCTCTAAAGGCAAACAGGCTCTCTAGTAAGGTTAGTAGCTTGGGGATGGGAACCTATGGCAGCCGGCCTTTGGGGAGGGAAACCCTGGGCCTGAATGGTCTCAAATATTCAGAGAGGGAAGGTGAGCCTGCTCTAGTGGGTAGTTTTCCTTCTATAGCTAACAAGGGTTCCTCCTCAGGTTCTTCTCTTACCTTGGGAGTCTCAGCTTTCAGTTGATGAAGGAGGCATAAGGGAATGGCAATGAAGATTAAATGGGGTTGCAGGCCCAGAGGAGTGAGGATGGGAGGGCACCGACCACTTGACCTTTCTTTCTTGGTGTTAGAAAGTTAGGTTTCTAGGATCCTCACTTCCTCAGCTTAGAGAGTCCCATCTCCTCATGTGGTTGCTCAGTGCTTCATGTGTATGGAGAAGGCAGAAGATGGAGAGAATCATTTTGGGGCTCAGAGACAGGACACATTTAGGTAGGATTAAGGACAGTGTTAAATGTATGAGATCAAGTATGAGATTGAATATTGGTAAATGCTGGAATATGTGGCTGGAACAGTGTTTGTAGAACAGAGGCTGGAGCTAGAATTGTTCTCTCTGCTCTCCCATGTCTTGAAGGTACTGGCCATGGGTGGCTGCTTAGTTAGTTGTTTCCTACTGAGACTTAAATCTGCAACAGCTGTGAGCTAACCTCCTGCTTTCAGGGGCCTAGTGCCCTCCTGACTTTCAACCCTCAGCATCTTTTTTGCCAGATCCTGTGGTGCTCTCCTCTCCCAATCATGAGTCCTTTCTTTTGGCTTCTTGACTCACATGTTTAAACATTTCCCTTAGCCCTATCCTCTGCCTCTGCCATGGGTTTTCAGGCCTCTGGGGAGCAGAAGGAGGGTTCAGGAACTGGTTTGGGGACCCTCATTATCTACCTTTTTGTCTGTAAAGGCAGAAGAGGGGGCATCCAGAATTAGTTCATAACCTTCTTAGGAACAGCTAGCTACTTGAAGGATCTCGAGTTCCTGGTCGAGCCTGTGTGTGTGCATGTCTAGTGTGTAGTGGCATGTCCCCATAACTCAGCCTTGCAAAGAAACCCCTGTGACTTGCCTACATGCAGCCCTACCAGCTTGACTGGCCTCATTATCTTCATTCTCACAATATTCTCTACATTTCCAAGTGCTTTGCCAACATATTTGATCCTCTGAAACAGTCCTATAGAAATAACTGAACTGATACTATCTTCATTTGGCCAAAATTGAGGACTAATAGTTAGGTGATTTGTCCAAGGTCACATAGCAAGCTTCAGGCAGAGATGGAAATCTTGACTTCTAGTCCAGAGCTCTTCTGGACCACTGCCCCTTAAAGGGCAATGCCCTGTCTTTCTGTACCTCCCTGTATTCTTCTTGTCAGCAGTGCTCTGAAAGAGACCCCACCCTTCCTGCTGCCACCACAGACTACTGTCTGAACTCTTACAACACTTCTTTTTTTTTTCCTGTGACCTCTTTTGGATCCTATGAAAGACTTTTGGAAGTGGCAGCATCCTGGCCTTTTGGGGTTGGTGAGGGATTGTTTGCAAGGCTCTTCTACCTTCTCCTCCCCAGCCTGGGTCAGGCCTACTGACTGCATGTGCCCTGTTCCTTGGGGCCTGACCCAGAACTGGATGTTACAGGAGTAGGTGGGGGAGGAAGCCATTGGAAATAGTGGTTTAGAAGTGGCTCAGAAGTAGGTGGTTTTGTATTAGCTTAGGTTTGTGTCTTAAGAAATTGAGCAAGCTTTGGGAAAAAGGACATTTTATTGAAGAGGACACCTATGGGATTTAAGCTTATAATGGTACCAACTTAGGGCTTGGGCATTCAGCATGAGTGGACTATAGTCATTGAAAAGCCCTTTGCCAGCAGATGATGGTATAATGACATTTGTTTTTGTTTCTTGTTGTTTGTCTCTTCTCTCCCCTTACTCCCCCCCCTTTTTTTTCTCCCACACCTTGGTCCTTATATCTGCTTATCCTTCTTCCTTTCTTCTTCCCCAATTCTACTATCCTCTGTCTCTTAATCAATATATCTCCATCCCCCTCCCTATCCCTGTCTCCTCTCATCTCAACTTCCTTCATTTCCTCTTTCCTGCCCACCTGTTCATTCTATTTTCTGTTTTCTGTCTCTCTTTCCACACTCATTTTCCTTTCCTGTCCTTGTCTTCTCATATCATCCTTTTCTCCTCCTCAACTTTTTCCCTCTCTCCTATCCTGTATGTACCCCTTTCTTTCTCTCTGTCCTGTGTTTTGCAGGGATTTGACCCATTCCGATTCGGAGTCCTCCCTCCATATGAGTGACCGCCAGCGGATGGCCCCCAAGCCTCCTCAGATGGTCCGTGCTGCAGATGAGGCTATTAATGCCATGACTTCCAATGGAAGCCACCGGCTGATTGAGGGGGTCCACCCAGGGTCCCTAGTGGAGAAACTGCCTGACAGCCCTGCCCTGGCCAAGAAGGCACCACTGGCGCTGAACCATGGGCTGGATAAGGCCCATAGCCTAATGGAGCTGAGCCTCTCAGCCCCACTTAGTGGCTCTCCACTTTTGGATTCTTCCCGTTCTCACAGCCCCAGTTTCCTAGACCCAGACACACCATGCCCAGTCGGGGACAGCCGAGTCCTGCAGGCTGGTCGAAATACACGTATTCCCCACCTAGCTGGCAAGAAGGCTGTAGCTGAGGAGGATAATGGCTCCATTGGTGAGGAGACAGACTCCAGCCCAGGCCGGAAGAAGTTTCCCCTCAAAATCTTTAAGAAGCCTCTTAAGAAGTAGGCAGGATTGGGGTGGTAGTGGTGGGACAGCTTGTCCTTTTCTGGGTCTTCTGCCTCCCCATTCTCCACCCCCAACATACCTGGGCCCTAGAGTGGGGCATGGGAGGGGCTGGCCCAGTGGCTGGGCACTGTACATACCCACTCCCCTTGACCTTGGGTCCTTCAACATTATTTATTAACTGACCATCATGGCCTGCCTGCCCTCTCTTCCTCCCAACCATGAGCTGCTTCTGTCACTCCCTCTCCACTTCAGTGCATGTCTTAGTTGCTCCTCCCTCCCTGCCCCCTCAGCTCTCAGCTCCACCTCTGGGGTCCAGCTTCTGCCTCTGCTATCCCAGTTTTGTGGTTTGGTTTCTTGTTTCTGTCTTCTGCTTTCAGGCTCCTTGTTTCCTCCACTCTCCGACTTCCCCTAGCAGCTTCAGGGAAGATAGGTAGAGTAACTTCTGACACCTGTGTCTCAGATCAGTCCCACCTTACCCACGATGGTTCTTTGTGCCCTAGACAGGGGCCTAGGGCCTAATTTTTGGACATTGTTCTTTGGGAGTGTAGTAGGCCTAAAGGAGGATGCTCAGCCTGGAGCTCGCTTAGGTCTCCAGAGGTCCATGGGGAAGTGAAGCCAACTCCCAGGGAACAAGCCACCAGAGACTTCTGAAGAGAGGCCAGGCTCAGGGATGGATAGGGAGAGACCTTTCTTAGTTGGAGGATGAGTGGAGCCAGAGCTGTGTGCTGTAAGCAGTCACCTTTCTTCTCCCACCCATACTTGCCACCCTCTTCCCCCTGCTTACCCACACTGCAGGAGGGTTTGTCTCTAAGAGGTGCTGCTCCAATGCTCCCCAAGCGTCAGTTCTTCTGGGGCTCAGGACAATTGGCTCCCTGGCCATGTTAGCCACAGCCATGTTACAGGGCTCCAATGGGGCCCTGTACCTGTTGGGCACTGATGCTGTTGCATTTGAACCAAATACAAAACAGTTTAAAAGTGAAAAAAGAAATCTCCTGAATTTCCCAAGTGCCTGCATCGCATACTCCCCGTGTCAGATCCTATTTTCATGTTACTGTATAGCCTGGGCCAGAGGCTCAAAAAGGACACAATCAGTTTGGGGAAGGGATGGCTAAGGAAGATGGTGTAGGTGAAGGTGGCTGTGTGACCACTGCCCTCCCCCCTTCCCAGCCTCTAGACAACTCCCTCCCTTACCTGTTTTTGCTATGGCTGTAAAGGTATTTTCCCTCTGCCACACTCCATCATGCCGCTACCCTGGGATCCTATTTTGGGCCTGGGATGGGTGTACCTGGGGCTGGTCTTAGGAGGGTGCTAGGCCACAGACTGCCTTGTGCCCTCTGGACTCCCTCACATGGGTTTTTCTGTGTCATTTCATAAGACTCTTTGAAGTCCAATAAAGCATGTAGGAGATTTTAACCTGTGCTGGCTTTGACTCTCATTGTGTTCTCTGTACTCTCTGGGGCATAGGAGCCTAGGGCTGAATAAGAGATACATCCTCCTCTACTAAGGGAAAATGAAACTTGAATGCTCATACCCAAAACCTTTCTGGGTAGGGTTACCAGATAAAATATAGGATGCTCAGTTAAATTTGACTTTCAGATAAACAATTTTTAGTATAATTATGTACCATGCAATATGGACAATTTTTAAATTTGCTACTTCTGATGTCCCTAATTCTGGGCCATGTTGACCACAACTATCTTACAGCTTCACCTATGGTCTCCCATGACCTTTTAATTTTCACAGGGAACTTGGGCTGCATGTGGAGGACAGTAAGGAACAATGAAAGATTTTGGGGAGGGAATGCCACAGATGAGATTTCATAAAGATTAGTTTATGTAGCCCAGATCAGAAACTTTCACACAAGCTTGTATGTTGGGGCTCTGTGTTAGTCCCTGGGTAAGACATGTGGCTGCTAACCGGAAGGCCAGCAGTTAAAACCCACCAGCTGCTCTGTGGGAGGAAGACAGGGCAGTCTGTTTCTGAAAAGATTTATAGTCTTGGAAACCCAATTGTTATGAGTCGAAATCCAGTCTACGGCAGTGGGTTGGGTTTGGTTTTAGTCCCCACGTTCAGAAGTCACCATGCAGTTTCGATTCTACCTCCACAAGGCAACAACTGCCTTATTGCTGACCCTGTCCATGGGAGAGCTTAGAAGTAAATGGGTCTTGTGTTTGCTGATCAGATAGAGACACTGGTGGAACCCCCAACACTATGGCCCCAAGTCACCTTTTGGGCCTGGAATTGAACTTACTCCAGTGGCTTAACTCAGCCAAACAACAGGCAGGCCTATGAGCCCAACAACTACATCGGGGAGATGTACTCCTTACATCCATCAATCATGGGAGATCAGAGGGGCAGAATTTGCACAGGGAGAAAGGACTGCAGGAATGGATAGGCAAGAAGGACATGTGGAAAGGGTAACCACAGGGAGGAAGTGGGATGAGAGCTGTTACACTGCTGGGAATGTGATCAGTGTCACAAAAAATGTATGGACTGTTGAATGTAAACCCAATCTGCTTTTGTAAAATTTCACCCAAACCACAATACAAAAAGGAAAAATAAAAGTAAATGGGTTTTGTCTTTGCCCTGCTTAAAACTCTCCCTCCTCTCCCCCCCCCCTTCTTCTTCTTCTAGTGGGATCCGACTCATAGTGACCCCTCCTTGGGTTTCCCAGGCGGTATCACTAGGGAAGGAGAGTGCCCAATCTTCCTTCTGAAGAGTGGCTGGTGGGTTTGAACTGCCAGCCTTCTAGTTAGCAGTCAAAATGCCTTAGGAACTAGGCCACCAGAGCTCCCAAAACTCTCCCAGGGCTCCCATTCCCCTCAGGATAAAATCCAAAAACCTTGGACCTAGTAAGACTCTTCCAAACCTATTAAGTGCCAGACTGGTGGCTGGTCTAATAGCTATAGTGCTTCCAACTGCTCCACTCGGTTGTGGATCCTAGGCTAGAGCCCACGTCGGACTACAGTATGGGGATTATCAGAATGGAAAAGTCATCAAAACAAGAAAATGTATTTTGGATGCTTGGATTATTTGTAATTATCTTAAAAATATTTGAACTGCTTTGATTTGGCGGGAGCGCGCTAACGAGAGGGGCAGGGCCAAGCCTGGCGAGAACTGCGTTTGGCGTCAGGGCTGTGTGGCCTTAGGAATTCGGCTTTGTCACGCTCTGCATGGCGACTAGGGAACAGGGTTCCGTCTGGGCATGTCCCTCTCAATGTGGCAGTCGGACAGGAGAAGTCGCCGAACCCTGCCCATACTCAACATGGCGGCTATTGGGCGTCCCCACTTTCCTCTAGTCCTGCCCATCCGGTACCAGACGTAGGTAGTGTCGAGCAACGCCATTCGAGCTTCGTCGCGCCGGTTTTGCGTCACGGGTGGCGGGAGCGGGAAGGGGATTCAGATTGCCGCGCCTCTGCTCTTGTGAGACGCGCTGTCTGTCGCCAACTGCAGTCCCTGCAGGTCCTGATCGTCTATCCAGCAGCCCCTGGAACACAACTCGTCGCATTGTGCCACTTTCGCGACTTCGCGGACCTCACCTGCAGCCCGAGTCGAATCCAGCACTTCAGCTACTAGCTGCGATGCATGTGATCAAGCGAGGTGAGGGGTCACGGAGAAGACGGCGGGGTGGGTGGGGAAGGGAGAAAAGGTATATCGTGTGCGGGGAGGAAGGAAAGGGGACGCCGTTATCCCCGGCCGCCCGCCGCCGTCGCCGCCGCTTCCCGCCCTTCCCGCTGCAGCTTCCCGCCCTGTCAGCTTGCGCGGCATTCTGTCTTCGGTCATTCTGACTTTTCATTCTGCGCCCTTCGGCTTTGTCATCCTGTCTCATTTCAAAAGAATAATCCCTACCTTTTATTGAGTAGTTACTGTGTGCGCCCAGCACGTTACAGCCCTTATTTTACTCCCCACATTGAGCCTCTGATGTAGGGATTAATAGCCCCACTTTACAGATGAAGAAACTGAAGCCAGAGGGCGGTTCGGTGACTGCCCCAAAGTCACCCAGTGAGCTGATGGTGAAGCCAGGATTCGAAGCCATAGCTGACAATAGAGATTATTTGAAAGCCTTGGGGTTGGTAAGATGTCCTAGGTGCATTGGGGAACTAAGAAAGACGGAGACTCTACACTGGCACTTGGCAGTTTCCTGAGCGCTTTTGTAGGGTGAGGTAGAGGTATGGGGTGAAAAAGGCAGGTACCCAGACAAAGCTCCCTGGAGTTTGCCCTTTGTGAGAGATTGTGTTGCCATCTGCCCAAGGAATCCCAGAGGAGACTTTGGAACAGGGACTAACTGCCCTTGCCTCTGAGAAGAAGAGATACTGAATCAGAGAAGAATGGCCAAAATATCCCAACTGGAGGATGGGACAGGGAAGAGCCAGGGTCTTGTACTCTTTCTCAACATTAATCTCCCGTTAGACTTGCTGAGCACCTCCTTTTGCCCAGCACTTTTCTTAGCTATGTGAGCTTAAAAGAAGAGACAAGTTCCTGCTTTGGGAAAAGGTATACATAGTCAGGTTGGTAAAACAAGAGCAACACAACACTTCATAATAGAACTGGATAAGACAGGTATGAACAAGTTTTAAGTTGAATCTACTCTGTTAGAGCAATTATTTCATAACTGTTTTTAGGTGCCCTTTGGTTGGTTTTCCATTCATAGTGAAGTCATGTGACAGTAGAACTGGCCCATAGGATTTTCTAGACTATAATCTTCATGGGAGAAGATCACCAGGTCTTTGTCCTGCAGAGCTGGTGGGTGGGTTCAAACTGCCAACCTTTTCATTAACAACTGAGTGCTTAACCATTGTACATTGTAGCCACTCAATAAATAATGATTGACTGACTGAATGTTTCCGTTTTGTCCGTTAGGCTGTGAACATTTCAAAGACACAGACATTTTACCTACACTTAGCACAGGACCTACTACTATAAATAGGTGCTCAAGAATTAACTGGAATAATTATGTCAAAATGTAGGATGGGATGAGAGCTGTGAATAGGCAGGTATTTGATTTGGTTTGTTCAGATTGGAATTGATCCCAATGCACAGCACGCCTGTGTGCATCAAAGTACAACTGCTCCACAAGATTTTCGTTTTTCAGAAATGGATTACCAGACCGTTCTCCCAAAGCTCCTCTGGGTGAACTGAAGCTTCCAACTTTTTCTTTAGTAGCTGACTGTGTTAACTGTTTGCACCTTATTGGTGCGTTCCTATGAGTGAGAGGTGACCATCCAGTTTTTTTTTTTTTTTAAGAAAGGGATATTCATTAGATGTCTATAACAAAGATGCAATGAAAACTTGTGGACATAGATTACTGGAGTGATTAGTAAATACCTTTGTTAAACTTTAAACTGTTTGGGGTCTACTTTGGACTATCATAGTTTAAAAAGCACTACTTATAACAATATCTGAAAGACAGAGTTTATTTTGTTTCTCATTCCTTTAGAGGACATAATTTAATCCAGATGTTTCACAGCTCTGGATCCTGCCAGTGTGCCTTCAGCATCTATTATGTCTTGGTTCGGCAAGGCCTCTTAATATACTAAATTACACTAAGATTTTTTTTTTTTTAATGTGCTTAGGCTTTTTTTCCTTCTTCTAGTTTTTAGCATGTCAGTATAGTGGCAGACTAAACCTCTGTAGTTTTTGTTAATTTCAATGTAATTATTTAGAAAGGAACCTAGTGGTCAACCTACAAGTACTTAGGGAATGTGTTAGTATCTTGTTAAGCACTCTGAGGGAAATAATAGAGCTAGAAGGCAGCCCGATCTTCAGAGAATTTAGAGTTGTGAGGGATGTAGAAAGAATCCATATGAAAATTTTAGATAATAGAAGGAAATAGTAGGTGAAATTTTCTTACCTGCCTTTTGAGCTATTTTTCCTAATGAGAGAGTATCACAACCTTCAAGGAGATTAAGGTTAAAAAATAAAAGTTGAGAACCACTATAATAAATGACAAAGTAGCTGACTGAATCATAAACTGTGCTTTGGAATTTAGTATAGTGTTTTCAAAACTTTAGAATTTTATTCCACAGTAAAAAATAGATTTTTACATCATGACAATATATATACATACATATGTGTATGTACATAAAACTGGAAAGTTCATGAAATAATGCCTTTTAAAACATTAGTTTGCACTCTGATAATCTCTTTTCTAGTCTAGGTCTTTTCTTTTATCCCCTTCCTCCCCATCCTTTCACCCTCTTACCCTTCTTTCCTAATGCTGATTCCATGCTAATACATTATTTTAAAACTTTGCTGGCTTCTGTGCTGGGCACTGAGATTACAGTGGTAAGGAGGCAGACATAGTTCTTGTTTTTATGGATCTTATAATCAATTGGGAAAGAAAGACAAAAAATAATTATAATATAAATTCTTTGGTAAGTAAAGTACGGGCATTAGAAGCTTATTCATTTAATTA